AGTTTGTATTCATATTTGCTCCGCGAGGGTTATGTTATATCCACCATTTTTGAGCGAGCTTTGAGAGCTTTGAGGCGATTTTGAAGAGGGATTCAAGGAGGAATGATTAGAGGTAAGTTCCTTGGCCTAAATTCACGAGATTATGTTAGATTTAACATGGAAATTAGTTGAAATTCATCAAAAGAGGTAAAGCTAGGGCTTGAGTTTTTGATATTTCAAATTGGAATTTGATAGGTCATTTGAGCTCGGATTTGGGAGTTCTTGGTATGTATGGACTCGTGGCGAGACAAGGAATCCGGTAATGTGAGTTTTGTAATTTTTTGAGAAGTGGGTCTGGGGCTCGGGTTTTGCTAGTTTCGAGATTGTTGCTATTTTTCGACTGTTTTCGATTGGGTATTGTCCCATTGGCATATTGTGATGTATTCGCTCTGATTTTGGTTAGATTCAACGCGCGTGGAGGCCGATTTGAGGGGCAAAGGCATCGCGGGCTAGAGATTTCGCCGGTTCGAGGTGAGTAATGATTGTAAATGATATCCTGAGGGTTTGAAACCCCGGATTTGCACCCATAGTGCTATATTGAGGTGACTTGCACGCCGGATAGAGAGCGTGGGGTAGAGCACCGTTGGGGATTGTGACTTGGTCCGTCCCGGTTGTTGATTTTACCACGTATTTCGCTATGACTTGTTTTTCACTATGACTTGGGCTTATTGCCATAATTGGGGCTTATTGCCGACTGTTTGAACTCCCTATGAGCTATCATCACTGTTTTTCCTCACTATATGAAATATTATTTGAACTCAGTCAATTGTCATTACACTGTTTCATGAACTCAGCTATATTTTTACTCAACCTTGAGTTTTAACTGATATTTGAACTACTGTTTGAGCTGAGCATTATTGTTTCTTTACTGATGCCCGAGGGGCTTATGATTATTTTTGTATTGATTGAGGCCGAGGGCCATATGTGAGGATATGCTGAGTGATGTGAGGAGGCTTTCAGGCCTCGAGTGTATTGTGAGGAGGCTTTCAGGCCTCGAGTGTATTGTGAGGAGGCTTTCAGGCCTCGAGTGTATTGTGAGGAGGCTTTCAGGCCTCGAGTGTAATGTGAGAAGGCTTTCAGGCCTCATGTTTATATGTACAGGCTTTCAGGCCTTATGATGATATAGCGCTTGGGCTGTAGGAGCCCCTCCGGAGTCTGCACCCCCACAGTGAGCGCGGGTACCCATCTAGAGCGGTTAAATTTTAGATAGTGGTAACAACGACACTGTCATACGCGTTTTGGTCAGGTAACAATGACTGACCAGTCGTAACAATGGCACTGTAATACGCGTTTTGGTCAGGTAACAATGGCTGACCGGTCAGGTAACATTGACTGACCGGTCAGATAACAATGACTGGCTAGTAACGAAAATCATGCCCGAGGGGCGAACTTTTATGTGCTCATCTTGCATACTTATTTGCATTTTTACCTGCTATGCTGTGGTAATTGTGCCCGAGGGGCGGATTTTCTGTGCTAATCAGCACTAACTATTTTGAACAGCTTTCGTAATTATTGAAAGGACCATTTTTTTCAAAAGAGATTTGAACTGAGCCGAAACATTTCTAAAGCGTTCTCTGATTTCACTGTTTTCTCGAAAATTATACCCGGCTTCTGTACAGCCCGTTGGTTGCTTTACGTGATTTCTTGCTGCTCAGTTATCATTTACTTATATTACTCACTGAGTTGGAGTACTCACTTTACTCCCTGCGCCTCGCGTGCAGATGCAGGTAATGGTTACCCGGTAGCGGGTTTGAGCTGGTTGAGGATTTGCTATCGTATCTGAGCAAGGTGACCGCCGGCGTTCGCGGCACCGGACTTCGTCTTTTGACTCTAAATTTTATTTTGTATATTATCGGGCTTGTAGTTGTGTTCAGATTTCTTTAGATGCTCGTGACTTGTGACACCCCGGTCGGGCTGTGTAGGGTAGTAAATTATCTGTTATAAATGTCATTTAGTCGTATTTATCCATTCATTTATGTTTAATAATTGTTAAAGAGACGAATTGGGTTAGTTGGCTGGCCTTGTCTTCACGAGAGGCGCCATCACGACCGGGTTTGGAAATTGGGTCGTGACAAGCAGCCACTTGAAGAGATTTAGAAACATCGACTTTAAAATCTTTGAGTCTAGATATCAAAACCAGCAACTGATCAACCTGTTCCATGACAGATTTCCCATCTATCATTTGAAATTCAAAAAATTTCATTCCAAGGAATCTGTCCGTTCCTTGCTTCACTGCAGTATATTTCTGTTCCAACGCTTTCCAGATTTCTTGTGGTGATTTGTGAGGACGGAACAAATCATATAAACGATCAGAAAGTGAGTTTAAAATAAAACCTCTACAGCGCACCTCATCATCGTCACGTTTTTTGCGTGCCGCCTTAATTTCGTCAGAGTCTTCAGCAGTAGGTTCTGGCATTGCAGTAAGATCAGAACTCAGCAAATATGTTATTCCCAACTCCGTGAGAAAGTACAACAATTTGTCTTTCCAGCGGGTGAAATTTGAGCCATCAAATCGATCCAGTTTGAACACTTCGAACATCTTGTTAAAACCAGAATCACTACCAGAAGCCTCCATTGCAGTGTTGTTAAATTCCTTAGGATTGTTAGAAAATATAATAGAATATAGGGACGAAATAATTAGGCTTTGATAGTGTAGTCACTGTCCTTAAAGAATTTAAGCCTCCCAATTTCGTTGTTGTAGGGATTATGGAAGAATTCCTCCAAGATTTTACAATGCCTCTGAAATTCGAGCACCAACAATTAACTCGAATTTCCACTTGAACAAATTTGGTGAATTGAAGATAGCAGAAAAGAAGAAGATACTTTGTTGCTTTTCTGGTGATTTTTGTTTTGGAGAAGAAAAGGGTATTTATAAACCCTTTAGGTGTCTGTTAGGACTAACAGACTCAACTTTTGCCAATAGGCACCTTTTAATACCAAAAGTCACCTCTTTTCAAACCCTTTAGGTGTCTGTTAGGACTAACAGACTCAACCTTTGCCAATAGGTACCTTTTAAAACAAAAGTCACCTCTTTTTAAAATTAAAACGTTTTAATATTTAAAACGTTATTTTATTAATTAATAAAATTAATAGATGACTAAAAGAAATAAATTTCGGGCTATTTAATTGGCCCAAAGTCCCAAGTGCCCAATCTTGACTATTAATAATAAAGCCAAATTCTAGTTCCCTCCAAAACATCTTTAAATTATTCAGATCATGTAAGACAAAGAAGTGCTTTTAAACACTTCTTCCTTTCTTTCTTTTTCCAAGGAGGGACAAAGCAACCTCTTCTCAAATACTCCCATCAAAACACTAACTAATATAATAATCCCCCACTTAGTTAGTGATTGATGTTGTTTATAAGATTCATGCGTATAGTAGGTATCTTTCGATTTAAACCTACTACTTGTATAAACTATTCAAGACCTTGTCGAAATTGATGGTTAGATTATGTTCTATTAAACCACAATTCCTATTTGACAAGACGGAAAAGCTTTATACACATAAATCGTACCAACTTCACAATTTGTTCACCGTGAGTTTTAGCACCCAATTATGGCCTTGTGCTACTTCCTGAATTCATAAACACTTATCAAGTTTTGTATCCCAAACTTTGATCGAAGCGGCACCACTTCTTGTGTTTACATAGGTGAAGATTTAACCAAATCCTTAACACGGACTTCTTTAGTTCCTAAACCGAACTCTGCTTCTTCACTAAGAGTATTTTTTATACTCATCCTCCTTTTCTAGGTGCTAATTTCCAGTACTTGCTATCCGTCACAACTATAACTTGTTATTACCTTTTAAACCTTTAATATTGTTGAACAATAAGAAAGGTAAGGTTCCCGTTACTAGTGACAAATTTAAATTACCTTAGACCCATAGCACTTGTTGTGCTTATTATCATATCCCTCGCGAGTCCTTTAGTGAATGGGTCAGCAAGGTTGTCTTTAGACTTGATGTACACAACAGTAATAATTCCATCCGAAATTAATTGTCTTATGTACTCATGTCTTAAAGCAATATGTCTAGATTTTCCATTGTATATTTTGCTAAATGCCTTAGACATAGTTGCTTCACTATCACACTGCAAGAGAACAGCTGGCATTGGTTGTGGCCACAACTTTATATCTAACAGCAGATTTCTCAGCCATTCTGCTTCTCTTCCTGCAGCTGCTAAAGCAATAAACTCAGATTCCATTGTGGAATGAGTAATACACGTCTGTTTCTTAGAAGCCCACGAAATTGCTCCTCCACCTAAAGTGATATCCACCCAGACGTTGGCTTGTTATCACCAACACTAGTTATCCAACTAGCATCACAATATCCTTCTAACACTGAAGGAAATCTGTTATAATACAAGGCAAAAGTTTTTGTCTTTTTCAGATAACCAAGTACCCTCACTATACCTTTCCAGTGATCACCACTTGGATTGTGAGTATACCTTGACAATTTACAAACCGCAAAGGCAATATCTAGCCTAGTACAATGCATAGCATACATTAAACTACCAATTGCACTAGCATAGTCTAATTGACTAACAGATCTTTCGGGGTTCTCAACCATCTTGCTAGAAGCATCAAAAGGAGAATTAAATTCTTTAATACCCAAATGATTAAATTTGGAAAGAACCTTGTCAATATAATGAGACTGACATAAGGCAAAACCCCCACTATGTCTTTTAACTTTAACACCTAAGATAGTATCAACTTCTCCCAAATCTTTCATTTTAAATTGAGAAGTTAAATACTTCTTAGTTTCATTTATGCCTTGCATCTTAGTTCCTATGATTAGCATGTCATCAACATAAAGACATACTATCACTCCATAGTCCTTTGTGAATTTGGAATAAATGCATTTATCTGCTCCGTTATGTTTAAAACCATTTGATAATATAACACTATCAAATTTTTTATGCCATTGTTTTGGAGCTTGTTTTAATCCATACAAGGTACTTAACTAATTTACAAACTTTCTTCTCATTTCCAGGAAGCACAAACCCTTCGGGTTGCTCCATATAAACTTCTTCATCAAGATCACCATTTAAGAATGCCGTCTTAACATCCATTTGATGGACATTTAGATTATATATTGATGCCAAAGCAAATAATACTCTTATTGAGGTAATCCTGGCCACAGGAGCATATGTATAAAAATAATCTACTCCTGCCTTTTGTCTAAATCCCTTGGTTACTAGTCTAGCATTAAATGTTTGTAGAGAACCATCAGTATTGTATTTTCTTCTAAAAACCCATTTACACCCAATAGGTTTAGTATTAGAAGGTAAATCTTCGAATACCCATGTACCATTTGATAAAAGAGAATCCATTTCATCATTTACAGCTTCTTTCCAGAAAGAAGAATCCCGCGAAGCCATAGCCTCACTATAGGTTTTAGGATCCTCTTCTAAATTTAAAATAATGGGTATTTTATTTAATACTTCATCTCTACTTCCTTCTACCAAAAAGACTAGTGCTTGAGAAAAAATAAAATCAGAACCTATATTTTTTTCTTTTCTAACTTTTTGACTTTTTCTTGGTTCTACAGGAGATTCAATTGCCTTTCTTTTATTGTTAGAAGAAGAACTAGGTTCTGCACAATTTTCTTGAGTTACTGCATTATCACCAATGCTTGTTGCATTACCATCTTGTTTAGTAATTTCTGTGTCCTCATGTGAATTATTAGAGTCACCAATGAACTTTGTTTCCAAGAACTCAACATCTTTAGATTCCACAATATACGTAGACTCAATGTCCAATAATCTGTATGCCTTTGAGTTCTCAGCATATCCTACAAATATGCTTTTAATTCCTCTAGGTCCTAACTTAGTCCTTTTAGGATCTGAAATTCTATAATAGGCTAAACAGCCCCATACCCTTAAGAAATTTAGGTTAGGATTTCTTCCTTTCCATAATTCATGTGGTGAAACCTTAAATTTCTTTTAAGGACTCTATTATGCACAAAACAAGCCGTTAACAAAGCTTCCCCCCACAAATTCGTTGTTAACTTTGCATGTAAAAGCATGGCATTAACCATATCTACCAACGTTCTATTTTTTCTTTCAGCAAGACCATTTTGTTGTGGGGTATACGGTGCACTAACTTGGTGAATCAAACCATTTTCTTCACAAAATACAGAAAATTCATTGGAAAGATATTCGCCTCCTCGATCACTACGTAGGATTTTAATCTTCTTTTGCAATTGATTTTCAAATAATGCTTTGTATCTTAAACGTATCAAATGCTTGATCTTTTGTTTTCATTAAGTAAACATGTGTATATCTAGAATGATCATCTATAAAAGTAATAAAGTATCTATTTCCACCTCTAGTTAAATAACCATTCAATTCACATATATCGAAATGCACAAGTTCAAGTAGATTACTTGTTCTTTCATTCTTTGGAAAAGATTTCTTAGTCATCTTAGCTTGTATGCAAATTTCACATTTTTTATCATTATTCTCAACAGCAGGAATTAATTTATTTTTAGACATAAACTTAACGTATCGAAAATTAACATGTGAAAGTCTAGCATGCCATAAATTAATAGATGACTCAATCATATAAGCAGAAACTTCAACTTTATTAATACTTAATTTGAACATGCCCTCACAAGAGTAGCCTTGTCCTACAAATACACCATTCTTAGAGAAAATAATCTTTTCTGCCTCTATAACAGTTTTGAGGCCTTTCTTACTTAATAAACTTGCAGAAATTAAATTCTTCCTAACATCAGGTACATGATGAACATTAATTAAAATCAACTTCTTTCCCGAAGTGAATTGTTGTTCAACGTTCCTTTTCCAAAGACCTTGGCGGTGTCATGATTTCCCATTAAAACCTTTTCATCACTTGTTGCAACTTCATAATGTTTGAAGAAACTCTTGTCATTGCATACATGAACTGTAGCACCGGAATCATACCACCAATCTGCAGATTTCATAGTTGCTGCCATGTTGCATTCAGTTACCATACTCAGATTCAAGTTGGTAAAAGCAGAAATCATAGCAACAATATCCGAAGAAGAAGCTTGTTGTTGTTCAACATTATTTACCCTCTTCTGTCCAGCATTTTCTTTATTTTTCTGTCTCTTACGAAACCTGCAATCTCTCTTAAAATGACCCATTTTTCCGTAAGTATAACATGGACCTTTCTTAATGTTAGAAGAATTTTCCTTTGGAGCAGCCTCAAACGTTCTCTTCTTTCCAGCCTTGTTTCCAGATTTTCCTGAGTTGTTTGCCTTACTAGACTCAACATAATTCACCTTTGAACTAGTTTCCGCAGCATATTTATTTTCACGTTTTTGTGACTCTTCTTCAATCCGAATATGCTTTGTCAACTGGTCCACATGAAAGTCTTCGGAAGAATGTAATAATTTCTTCCTATAGTCATTCCAAGTGGCTAGTAATTTTGCAAGTATAGTAGCCACTTGAAGAGATTTAGAAACATCGACTTTAAAATCTTTGAGTCTAGATATCAAAACCAGCAACTCATTAACCTGTTCCATGACAGATTTCCCATCTATCATTTGATATTCAAAAAATTTCATTCCAAGGAATCTGTCCGTTCCTTGCTTCACAGCAGTATATTTCTGTTCCAAGGCTTTCCAGATTTCTTGTGGTGATTTGTGAGGACGGAACAAATCATATAAACGATCAGAAAGTGAGTTTAAAATAAAACCTCTACAGCGCACCTCATCATCTTCACGTTTTTTGTGTGCCGCCTTAATTTCGTCAGAATCTTCAGCAGTAGGTTCTGGCATTGCAGTAAGATCAGAACTCAGCAGATATGCTATTCCCAACTCTGTGAGAAAGAACAGCAATTTGTCTTTTCAGCGGGTGAAATTTGAGCCATCAAATCGATCCAGTTTGAACACTTCGAACATCTTGTTGAAACCAAAATCACTACCAGAAGCCTCCATTGCAGTGTTGTTAAATTCCTTAAGATTGTTAGAAAATATAACAGAATATAGGGACGAAATAATTAGGCTTTGATAGTGTAGTCACTGTCCTTAAGGAATTTAAGCCTCCCAATTTTGTTGCTGTAGGGATTATGGCAGAATTCCTCCAGGATTTTACAAAGCCTCTGAAATTCGAGCACCAGCAATTAACTCGAATTTCCACTTGAACAAATTTGGTGAATTGAAGATAGCAGAAAAGAAGAAGATACTTTGTTGCTTTTCTGGTGATTTTTGTTTTGGAGAAGAAAAGGGTATTTATAAACCCTTTAGGTGTCTGTTAGGACTAACAGACTCAACCTTTGCCAATAGGCACCTTTTAATACCAAAAGTCACCTCTTTTCAAACCCTTTAGGCGTCTGTTAGGATTAACAGACTCAACCTTTGCCAATAGGTACCTTTTAAAACAAAAGTCACCTCTTTTTAAAATTAAAACGTTTTAATATTTAAAACGTTATTTTATTAATTAATAAAATTAATAGATGACTAAAAGAAATAAATTTCGGGCTATTTAATTGGCCCAAAGTCCCAAGTGCCCAATCTTGACTATTAATAATAAAGCCAAATTCTAGTTCCCTCCAAAACATCTTTAAATTATTCAAATCATGTAAGACAAAGAAGTGCTTTTAAACACTTCTTCCTTTCTTTCTTTTTTCAAGGAGGGACAAAGCAACCTCTTCTCAAATACTCCCATCAAAACACTAACTAATATAATAGAATTCAAGGTTTTATAGAGATGCAGAAGTATTCATCTCATGAGCTAAAAGGTATTATATTTGCCCCTCAAAATTTTCAAGCGTCTTTCACCTTGAATTGAAAGTTTAAGATAGGAAACACGTTGGCCTGATCTAATTTGGTCTTTTATTCCTTTCCTTCCTTTTTTTTTTCAGAGTTTCTCATTGAAATTATAATTCAAATCCTTTGTGTACTGCTTTTCTTTGCGTTCTTTGTGAGCCGATGGTCTATAAAATAAAATAAAAAAGAGAAAATGTAAACAATTTGTAAAAAGAATACAGTTAGTTATGATAAATAGCAAACTTTAGTTAAAATGGGTATATTATAGTATATATAAAAAAAATCTCAAGAAAAAAGTCTAACACATCATCAGAAATTAAATACATTAATTAAAGCTTGGTAAGAGTTGGATGGGTTGAGCTATGACACAAATTTTAGTCCATCTTGACTCAGCCCATTAATGACCTGCTCATTCATTAACCCAGACAATTTTGATCAGCCCAAAATCAGTCTAACTCGCCCATTTGGCACCCCTAGATGAAAGGACTTTTTTTCTCTCAGATCTTGAATCCTTGAATCACCTTCGGCTTTGCTTGTAAAATTTGAAGTGGTACAGGTGAAAATATTTCTGCACTAGTCTTTTTCTCGTTTCTCATTTATTTCTTAATTTTCCTTCATCTGAAAGGAAAAGTTAGTCTTCCTTTTTATTCTAGTGGACCAATTTACATTTTCAGTCTCCCACTTCAAAGTATGTATTGCTCGGGTATCCTATCAATTATATACCATATAAAGGAAAGTAGTTGATGCATGTGTATTATCCATATATTAATAAGTAGAACATTTCCTTATTAAAATGTTTACATTCTTATGTACCTACTTAGAAAGAGGAGGAATAGGCACTACAACATTTTAGGTCTACAACCACCCCTGAGAAATATGGCCTAAGATGCCAAGAAGTGTAGCATTTGGTCAAAGGCAACACTTTACGGCTTTAGGCAACGCTTTTTGGGGGGTGGCCTAAAGTACCGTAACCTTTGACTATTGGCCACGCTTTATAGGTGTTGCCTTAGATGCCACGCTTTAAAAGTGTAGCCGATATGGTACAAAGGCCACGCTTATATATTGTCATATAGCCACGCTTTTATGACATAAGGCTACACATTTGAAGCGTGATCTTTGTCACATTATAGACTACGTTTTCAAAGTGTGACTTTTAGAGCAACATTTATCCANCCACCATTTCCAATTGCATCACCCGTATATTCCTACACATTCAAAATAAAATTAAAAATTAGAAAGAAACAAATATATAGTATGCACTATTATATGGTACTAAGAACTAATGAGATTTTATTTCACTACTATAGCATAACATAGCTTCACAATCTCAAACTATATGACAACCAAGGTAATAATTCACCAACAGTAAAAGATAGTAAGATGCAGCAGCAAATATTGACTCGTCCTAGTAGTGGTAAACATGGGCGTTTGACCAAATGCTATTGTAAGACGCAGCAAATATTGACTCGTAAGAGATAGTAACTTATTACCAGGGAATGACTTTATTTTTCATACCACAGCATCTCTCTCAGGAGCATATGTAGCATATCCCATTGATGTTCGTATATTGGGATTCATGGCATCAGATGGCACAGGCAACTCAATTTCCACATTCGTAGCAGTGTTGCCACATGAAGTACACAGTTCAGTGCAAAGATTTCCAGAACACCAATTTGCAGTGATAAAAGAATGATATCTTCAACTGTAGTTCTAGATGGCCAGTATTGCTTTTTATTTGCACAGATCTGTTCTCTAACTTGATAGAGCTTAGAACTAGTTTAGTAGAAACTAACATAAAATGGATAGCTGGAATATAAATGAATAGAGGAAACAATTGAAAAAGATGTATTCTACAAGTCAAACTTTGCTATATGTGAGAAAAGAGAAAAATGCTACCTACGCTCCTTAAACTGGCTTCTGGCTTTGACAGACATCTCAACCCGGCTTCTTGAATGCCTTTCAACTTGAGCTTCTACCAAAATCAG